ATCCACATTGACGGTTATAAATATATATACATATTTTTTAATGACATTACAAAAATATAATTTGAGGGCTCAAGTAAAGTTTAACATTTAAAAATTAATATGTTTCAAACAACTTAACTGTCTTTTAAACTATTTCGTAATAAATTTGACGATCATTAATAGTTAATTGAATTGTAATTAAGGTTAATCATAAAGAAATAACAAAACGACTGTCCACATATAAATTGCGCTTAACCTAAAGTGACTGACTTCAGCAGTTTGGCACCTTTGGCACGTGACGCGCTTATTTGGAACACGAAAAACGTTTTTTGGAAATGTAAAATGAGATAAATCGGTAGATCTTGTGCATCGCTCTCTTAGGTTAACTTGATTAAAAATTCGGAAAATTATTTCCAGTAATACTTGTCTTTGGTAGGGAATTCCTCTGAACACACACGTAATTTTCCCCGTCATGATATAATCGATTGGCTTAAAGGGTGTATTCATTATCCTGCATTGCAGTCTGCCTTTCCGTCCGCCGCGTAATGCAGGATTGTGAATGTAGTCGCAGACTCCAAACGTAGGCCATATGCAGAATAGTGTGTGAGCAGTCTCCTGCCATTTTATATAAATCAGCTATCCTTTGGCGGGTTCGGTTGATGTTTTATGAAATTGGCAGGAAAAAAATAAATTAAATTTCAATTATGGCAACTCAAAAGTCGCGTCGCGGTGAATTGTAAATCTTAACGTAACGATGTTGTCTATATTCCGTGATTTCTTATACCTAGATGTGTCGGGTGGTGGCGGTAATTTTTATTGCTCAGGGTCGTATTCTAGAACTCTACTCGATGCTCAAGTCAGGACTTGAGTATGATTCAAAGCGCTAGAAATCATACTCAAGTCATTGCCATTAGGGTCGTATTTCCAGTGTTTGAAATCATACTCAAGTCTGCTCAAATCCTGACTTGAGCATTGAGTAGAGTTCTGGAATACGACCCTTATGGAGTATAATTTGAAGCACTGGAAATCCGACCCTAATGGCAAGGACTTGAGTATGATTTTCAGTGCTCACTGCAATACTCAAGTCCTGACTCGAGCATTGAGTAAAGTTCTGGAATACGACTCTCAGAGTTGAAGGCTCCAAGCTCTGTAATGTACGCAATTCAAAAAATACGAAAGCTTTCAGTCGTCCAAACAGCTAGATCAGTTTAACAGTTTAATGAGTGACGTAGTAGTGACCAGTTTAGCTCTGCTCTTGTAGGTAGTCTCAATTTAAGCTGTTTGACTCAAATATTGTAATAATAAATGTATTCAAATGCATATTTACAAAGGGCAACCCCTAGAGTTTCTTGCGCACTCTTCCTCAGGGAATCTGCCATACGAATTAGTAGTGGAATTTAATCAGTATGATGATTTCAAGCGTAATTTGCTTACCTATGAGAAAAGATTACTTGACTTTGACTTAGATTTGTGAACCCAGTTCAGAACGGGTATACTTTTTTTCTTCTGTGCCTTGCTCATTTTCGTACAAGTAGATGTAAATTATTCTTCTAAATCATATAATGTTATTGTAATAAAAAACATAAATGCAAAATATCTGTTTTTTATCTATTTTTAGTCCATTACATTATACAAATTAAGTTGACAGTACATTTCCTGCACTAGTGTGACAGGATTTGTCGGTTTTCTTGCTATACTATGGTAGGATCTCTGATTTTAATATGGTCACACTGATTGGAGGGAAAATTTAAATATTCTACATTTTAATTCACTTTCATAAACCGATTTCTTTTTTATTACCTTAGTTTAAAACTTAAATTACAAATTCCACTGCAGAGTAGTAGAGAATTACGAACGTGAATCTGTTGACAAATTAAAATTGAGGATTTCGACAGCGATTTAATTATTTCCTTAATTAAATGTAAAGTCTGCTTTGATTAATAAAAAGAAAGTTTCATAACACAAGAGCTTTTCTTACTTACTTTGGAATCGGAGCAACGTACGTGATGTTGTCGAATAATAATAAAAAACTCATTTTATTCAAAGGGGATAGAAGTTAGCGGTTGAAATCATGACAGCTCTGAATTTAGAGATTAAATTACATGGATGGAAAATTTTCAATTGACAATTTAATTCCGCCTTCCCCTTTACATCATCGAGGGACAGGCATAGGCTGGAGTTACACTCACTTTCCACCCCTAAGTTATAGATATTCCATACAGGTTTTTGCGTAGCGCGCGTAAGTAATCCTAGCTGTGGGTTTTTCACATTTATATGGCGAACGACTGTGGAGTGAAATTTAATAGCAGTAGAGTTTCTTATGAAAGAGTTCGTCCAGGGTAGTACTGCCATTTTACCTATTTCTGCCGCCAAGCAGTAATAACAGCATTACTGCGTCCCGGTTTTGAAGGGTAAGGGTGTCGTTGAAATTACAGGCACATGGGACTTGTCAACTTATGTCTCAGGGAGGATGACGGAAGCTGTGGCAGTATCCCTAAGATCTTTGCGATTTAAAGCTCTGAGTGGCACTGCAATTGTTATGGATAGCTGTATCGCTTACTACCAGGCGCATGACTTGTTTGTCCCGTCACTTGACATTATAAAAAAAAATACATGCAATTAAATTACTAAAACGTTGGCCTTTTCAAGGCGAGAGTGAATAGGCATTGTTTAGGTGTGCGTGCTCCATTGTCGACCTCGTCATCACTTTTCATCAGGTTAGGAGCTGCTGGTAGCTGCAAAGGTACCTAATTGGGTGATAAAATGCTTTTATAGATTTCTCACAGATGGCGCTAAAGCAAAAAGTCATTAAAAACCAAAAACAAAAATCCGACAACAAGCACATACAAATATTAGTAAGGTCCGCTGGTTCCTTCAGTGACTTAGTTGGCATAGCGGCTGGCACGGTGTGCTGGGAGACGTCGTCGGCGGAGAACAAAAAAGTAACACGTAATTTCGAATCCGGCCGGCTCGAAGGAATTATTTCTAAGTGTTCGATCTTTATATTAATAATTATAACAAACTAGTGGAGTAATATCACAAAAAGTAATTGAACATCATGGCGATGAAACATCTTAACATTCAATAAAAACTTAATTAAAATATGATTAATTATTTAAAAGCATGGTACAAAAGTTGTTGTTTATGTTATTAGTATAATATAGTTCTGCAAAGTTGTAAGAATTTTACAAATAACCTTGTTTAAGAGGTGCTTCATCTTTACTTTGCGATTATTTTTCTCTGTTTGCGTCTTTTTTCAAAGTAAAACCGGAGGAGAAGCGGGTAAAACTATTTCGCATGGCTAGATCTAATATAACGGTCTTACAAAAACTATACGGTATAACCTAAGGATATTGTCTAAAGAATGTGCTAATTTGTTATACGATAAGATGTACTTACTTTATGCGATCATATAAAATCCGGAAAACAGACTAAAATAAAAGTTTAAAAAAGTATCTAACTTTATGCCATACATAAATTTTATATAGAGATATTTTTCTTTAAGCACTACATAGAACCTGCTAAGTTTTGGTTTTCAGACCCATTATTTATTTATTTATCCAAAAATTTGCAATTGCTAAACGACACGTCGCGCCGTCCGCTGCCCAGTCAGTCGCCATTGAGCGCTTGTCAACATTGGACGTTGTTAAATTTTCTCCGCCTGTTCCATTGACTTACAATTATATGGACGACGGGTCCGCGCTAAAAAGTGTCCGAACTCATAGGGCGTTAAAATCGTATACAGAGCGTCATTCACGCTCTAGTCTTGCGTTTGTTCGACTGACAGCGAAGCAAGCAAAATTAGACAGTACTGCGATGACATTACAATTTAAATTCAACGTTTTAGCTTTTCAATATTCCTTGACATGTCACTACGTTTAAATAGGTTGACTTGGGACATTTTTTTCGTGGTTTTTGTATTAGACCCGTCGTCCATTTATTTGTAAGTCAATGGCCTGTTCTTACTTTATTCTAATTCTTATTTTAAAAATATTAAATATTTAGACTAGGGCCCCACCAGGTTCATGTCGGACTTGCAAGTAAATATACTCAACGTCAGCTTGTGGTAGCTGTAAAGGTACCAACTGAGTGAGAAGGTTCGTCAATCTCTCACAAGGTGACGCTTACAGAGTTGAAAGCGGAAAGATGAAACACCTAAAAAAATCACAACTGTAATATTATTTGTTATATGAAAAAACATGAAATCTAATTTTCCATATATTAAATAAAATTAGAGATATGATTTTTATAAAAAAAAAAATTACTTCAAATAGCTCTCCTGCAATATTTTCCTAAAGCACGTTAGACGTTTGACCTTTCTTGCGTTGATATGATTTTGAGTAGATGTCACAAAAACCGTTTCAAAATTAATTTTGATTAAAATATAATATGAAATGAAATTTATGAAATGACATGAAACTATTTTATTTCAGACAGTAGGTACAGTTACAAATCCGTATGGTGTTGGTAGGTACTTACAACTATATTAGTAGAAAGCAAAGTGTTCATTTTCATGAACAAGGATGGACATCCTATACTTAAGGATTGGGCTGCATCCTCTCTGCTACCACCTTAAGACTGGTGCTGCTTTTCACTCTGGCCAATAGATGCCACTTGCAAACGACTGCTTGAAAACTACCAATTCTAGACACCGCGAACATCCCTGAGGCAGTACAGTGTCGAGGCAGCCTCTAAGAGCGTTGTTAAATTGGACCCACAAGGCACTAGACTTATTGTACTTAGATGTTGGCAAACTACTTTTCTTGCAGATCAATATAAAATAAGATCGAGGTTCAGAATGACTGTTATTTAAATCATGAATACGATCTATTCGCCTTAATGTTGAATCGGTTTGCTTAAAAATCGCATTGCAATGAATCGATAGATCATATACACTTCAATCGATCTTCATAAAAATCGAATCGTGATGTGCATCCTTACCTCGATCTTTGTGTTAAGAAAAAAACTAGTGAAGTTATTTCACATAAAAATATAATATCACTTTCGGTGATAAAAACATCGTGAACTTCAATAAAAAAAAAATAGTTTCAATATCAGTTATCATTATCTACTTCGATTGTATAAAGCGTGTCACCTATCATAATATATTCACAGCCGTCCATTTCAATTACTTCATGATTTACGATACTTTCTTCAACCGTCTCAAATTCCATACTGTTTTCGCTTATATTCTTTGTATCCACAATATCTTCGTATCCTGCTATTATTTCTTCGTCTCTAATCGATTCCTGTATTGAAGTTTCATCTTTGCCTTCTTTAGCATCATCAATTATTTCTTGGTTGTCTACAATATTCTTCAAAACTTCAACAGCTAAATGATCCTCCATTTGTCTAGGTTCCTGTCTACCGTCAGAGTTACAGTTGCTTTCGTTCAAAATATTAGGCACATCAATTTCAGACGTAATAGGTAATTTAGTGATTTTTCTTATTATTTTAGTATTCTCGCTACGAACAGTATTTTTCTTTTTCCTCTTTTTATCGTTATTATAGGGATATGACATTTTTTTATTTGCTTTAAGAATAACTGCGTCGTCAATATTATTGAAGACGACATAATCCAAATAATTGTCCACTTTTTTTTCATTTTCATCCAAATAATCGCAAATTTCAATTTCAGCTTTTGCCAAGTATTCGTTATCAATTAATGTGCAATCTATCTTCATGTGTGGGTACAGCACAACTCGCCCTGAAACAATTTTTTATTAAACGTCTAAAAGGGAGTGTATAATTCATTCGAGATAAAATGCACGCAAGCCAACTGTAGCAGTAGCATGACAGAATATGTGTGATAAACCTCTCCGTGACAATATTTAATTCAATTGATAAATCTAAGTTTGCTTATTTGGTAATGAACTATTGTTATACATTTCTAAGAACAAGGACTACGATATGAAATTGCATATAAAGCTATCTTTATCGTTTAATCATCGCCGCGAAAACCATGAAACAAAAAATGTCTTTTCATCTCGTTTGTCGCGCTCAATTTTTACGTTGATAAAATTACTGCGCAAATGTTTTAAAATCAGCTGTGACCTTGCAGCCATGTTTGGCACTGTGTTAATCTTTTGCAGTCATTGGACCGCCGACACTCGCGATGACATAAAAATGTGACGTCACGGTGCTCGACATCTTCGCTAAAATTTTAAAATTCTGAACTCGAATTTGACAGCTAAATATGGATATAATAGTTTTATCGAGGCGGCATACTAAGGGGGCTTGTTTGGTTAAAATTCTTAAGCAATTACTCAATATAATGTACTGCCTTTAACTGATATTAACATTTAAACACTAATCTAAACTTTTTTATGCACTCCAGCTTTTCGTGAATAGTAATTTACATGGTAGTTTCAGTAAGGCAACATCGATTGTTAGTAATTGATTGAATTAATGCCCATTAGTGCCACTCCATTAACACTCTATTGACACTAAACTGTCATTGCGACTAGATTATAGAATAGAAATTCTTTATTTCAGGCATTAACTCCTATAAATTGTTGGTAACATTTTCACTTAAAGTAGGTTAGTATTTAATTTTGTATTTTTATTTTGTCTTTTCATTCTTTCTATTTTAGATCTTCGACTCATCCGTAGAACAAGGACCTATGTCCAAGACAGCCTATCCACAGGACCTTGTATATTTCGCTCTTTGTTTTTCGCTGTGGACATCAGATAGATCGTTGTTCCATTTTACAATTCCGAAACGAAATAAGATGTAAACATTCTGAAAACACCTATACACAGATCTTAGTTTGAATAACGAGATTATGTATTTATCCTCTTTTCGCTGTATAATCCCATCGGATTCTGTTCTTCGGATGAGTCGATATGTAAGGGATATAAGGGGAAAGGAAGACCAAAGGAACGATGGATGGATTGTGTGAAAGTTGACATAGATAAGAAAGGTGTGAGTATGGAAATGACGGCTGACAGAGGAGAGAAGAGAATACATGTTGTGCCGACCCCACAATATAAGGACAGGATGAAAAAGAGAAACAAAACGAAATAGCATGCCCGTGTGTGGAACCTTCTCCCGGTCGAGGTCAGATAGTCGCCTTCGGTTCAGGTTTTCAAGGGTGCTCTTTTGAAGTTTTGGGATTGCTTAGACTCCACATGTTAGAAATATGCTTATGAAATATTTATTTACATTTGATATATTTATTTATAGTTTTATTTTATGCATTGATTTTATTATAGATTTTGTATGTATTAATGTATCAGCATTACGTAATATATATGTATTCGTATGTTCATTTGATATAATAAATTTATGTGTTTAATTATTGAGTATCAATGATTTGAGTATAGTATATTCCATTTCTTTATTTATCTATTTTTAGTGCCACCCCAAAAACCAACTTTCCTCTCAGATTTTCAAAGGTTAGTTGGAGGAAATCTCTTTATGGGAGAAGCTCGCCTTTGTACACAAATATTTAAATTGTTTCTGAAAATTTGTAATTTACTTTGTGGTACAATAAAGTGTTTAAATAAATAAATAAAATAAATAGAATTCATTCTATCTCATTTTGTGTCTGTAAATATTAATAATTTCTTTTTTAGGTCTATGTGTTGTGGCGTTGCAAATAGTTGCAATAAATGTATTTATAACTTGCAATAAATGTATTTAACTGCCTCCGTGGCCGAACGGTTAACGGACTGCCACGCAGAGGTCCCCGGGTTCGATTTCCGGGTCGGGAAAAATATTTGTATAGCCTACATTTATTTCTCTCGTGAGTTTGGGTGTAATTTGTGGTTGTTCATGTGTATGTCGATGGCACCCGCGACACAGGGTTTCCCTAGTGCATGTTAAATGTGTGCGTTATTATGTGTGCGTTATCTTTATTCTATTCTTTACATCATGACAACACAAAAACTATTTATTTAATATACATAAAAACAGATTTGATTTGCCTAACCGAGTACATTGGGATTGGACAATCAAACCTGTCTGCAACCATCTTCAGGATGCCGTTGGAACTACTTCTGACACACGTCACAAGCGATAGTTTTTTCAAGTATAATATCATTGCTTTTTTTATATTTTAAAATTGAAATTCAGAATCAAATAAAATTGCAGATTAAGAAATATTGTCACAATTGCAATGGAGTCTCAATCGAATTAGAATGACGAATTGGTTTCAAGTTGTTCCTATAGAACCGTTCATGTAGAGTGGACTGAAACAAACTATAGTGAATAAGTTTTTGTACGAAATAATCTGTGAATATTTAACAACAATCGTGACAAAACCTGCACAATTTGTAGAGAACCTGTATAAGTTATGTTGCTGTCTGTACATAACATTCGTATTTATTTCGCATTAAGTTCGTCCAGGGAAGTACTGTCACCTTTTTCTGCCACCAAACAGTAATGTCAGCTTTACTGTTTTCCGGGTTTGAACGGTAAGGGTGCTTGTGAAATTACAGGCACATGGGACTTATCAACTTACGTCACAGGGTGACGGGCGCAGTGGCAGTGCCCCTCAGATCTTTGCGATTTAAAGCTTTGGCATTGCAACTGTTATGAACAGGCGTGTAGCTTACCATCAGGCGCACGACTTGTTCGTCCCGTCACTTGATATTATAATAATCTCAGTACGAAAAAAAACCGACCTCAAATGTACGTGGAATTACGTCTATTTGCTAAGTTTTATTGAAATATCCTCTAGTTCGCCACTATACAGAACTTGACACTGGAGATAATAAAAATAGGTTCTCACTACGACACTACTCAAAGTATATTAAAAGAAAAACGCCTTGAGTGGGAGTAATAGCAAAATCAACCATTAAAGTAATTGCTCCTAAATTAAAGTTAGGCGCTATTTATAGAAATGAATCTTCATTCGTGAACAGCCACTCTTCGATATCTTAACCAAATCTTTCGATTGGATATCGTTCTCGAATCGAAGGGCGCTATCCGACCTATTCAGAACATTCGAGAAGTACGAGTAATCGTACGGGACATTTTGACGTTCGGTATGGTTATGGAATAAAATTAAAAGAAATCATACAACAACAGAGTTATCGTAAAGTTCTGTATCGACCTGCTGGATCCGGAAGGCGTTCAGTACTCCCCTACTAGATGGACGGACGGCCTGGGGCCTTGCCATGAACTCTTATTACGATTCGATGATGTTTCAAATAAAAATAAAAAAATATTGTAAATGCTATTTACAAAGAGCAACCCCTAGAGTTTCTTGCTCATTCTTCTCAGGGGAATCTGCCTTACGAATGAGCGGTAGAGTTTAACCATTGTGACGTTTTCAAGTGTAATAATGCTTACCTATGAAATAAAGATTATTTTGAGTTTGAGTTTGATTCAGTTTAGGACCTAAAATGAATTGTTGTGAGACAACGCTATATGAAGTGTATATCACCATCCCGTTTTTTTTTGTCGTTACGAACCTATATTGAACTGTAATAAGAGTTCATGGTAAGGCCCCTGGTAAGGGTGGCGGGTAATAGATGGATGCACGTCGCGTTCGACCGGCTAGTCTCGCAATCTTTGGAGAGGCCTATGTTCAGCAGTGGACGTCTTACGGTTGATATGATGATGGTAGTACCCGCCTTAGGAATCCGCTGTGGTTAGCGGAGAAATCGTGACCATCTTTACCTTCGTAAGATAATGTGACAGTACACATGGCGTGGCCATAGCCAGGAAATATCATGTCTGGGCATAAGGTAATGTGACCGCCTCATGACACAGATTATTGCTTGGCTGTCACTGCATCGAAACTCAGCGTAAAAATTTTATCTATTAGTAAAAATAAGCGGAAATATTGGACCCTACTCCACCTCTACCTGAGGTGCCGACTATCTTGAGCGGTCAGATTGGACTAAAACCAGAAAATATACTCACGTGGTTTCCTGCGAGGAAGGTACACAGAGGGATTTTTGATTTTGACACCGTGTATCTTAACGGAATGGTCGTTGAGATAATCCAGATGGGAAAAACCGCGTTTGCAAGAATTGCAATAGTACGGCATTACAGGAGCGTGTACCTGGGGACAGTCAGTTAAATAAAATTAATACGTAAAGTATCGTATGTCGAAATTGCCAAGTTTACAGGGGAGCGATTTAAAGTTTTGAATTGACTGAAATGGGTATAACACGCGACGTTAGCATTTCTTAGTTTAGTATTCTATATTAGTATTCTAGTTTATAGTATTATATATTATATTATATATATTTATAGTATTCTATATTAGTATTCTAGTGTATACTAATATATATAATACTAATATTCTATATTAGTATTATATATATTAGTATTCTAGTTTGGTAGCTGTAAAGGTACCTAACTAGATGACGAAATACTTTCATAGAATATTCACAGATGGCGCTACGGCTATACAAGTCGTTAAAAACCAAAAACAAAGGTATAGATAAATACGCAAGGTCCGCTAGTTCGTTCCATGGCTTAGTTAGCACAGCATCTGGCACGGTTTGCTGGAAGATGTTGGTTCGAATCCAGCCTGATCGAAGGAATTTTTTCTCAAGTGTTCGATCTTTGTATTAATAACTATAACACGCTTAGAGCCTAATGTCGTCTAATAAAAGATAGTTTTAATTTTAGTGTTGTTTGTTAGTTTCAGATAGTTTTTGAATGAAGCAACTACATGAAATTCTATGTGTAAACTCCAGTGGAGTATATAAAGCTTCTTACTTGCAAAGCAATGTTTTCGGGCGTTTGAATCGATTCACTAGAGCGCGTCGTCGGCACGTTTAAAATACACCATGTGCATAGGCTCTTAACGGAGTAATTTCACAAAAGATAAAAGAAAAAGGCTCTCAAACCAAAAGCTCGGCTAGGGGGTATCTTAGAACACCGACTGTACACGGGGCCTTAAGAGGTTAAGTTTACCACCCACCTTGAGTATATGGTCGCGTAATTCGCAACGGTAATTACAACGCATCGGGCAGATAGCGCAGAGGTACGGCTTGTGCGTGTGGTTGGTAAGTATGTGACTCACGGCCGACGTGTGCTCGCTGAATATTTCTGGGCAGTACCTGTTACAATAAACAGGGCTGGGTATTTCAATATCACATTACAAAATTAAGATGGGCACAGCATCGTCTGAGGGCTAAATTCATAAATCACACTATTTAATTATATAAAAATATTACAATACAATATAATATAATATCAACTATTAAACTATTTTTTAATACAGTTGCTCAACACGTGGTATTTTTCGTACTACAAATCGTGCCGAAAGTTGGATTTTTCGTACTCACTAGTGCTTTTTACTTTCCCATTTTTTTTTATTTACTGTTGTTTCAAGTCTTAGAACTAAAGAAGTTGTATATTTGCTTAATATTTATGTGCTTTGTGACGTAAGTCATTGGTCATTAAAACTTATAATTTACTTACAAACATCTTATTTGTTTAAATTGCATAGGTGTTTTATAAAACAATGGGTTACATTTAAAAATACCTAAATATTTTCCATAAAGATGGCTGATTCAGTATTAACAATGACCGTAGATGAGTATTACGCGAGACCGCTGCGCGTCTCGCCAATAAAATAGTAACTTTAACGTGGCTGAATACTGGCAACGGTTACCATATTGAAAAAAGACGGCCAAAAAATGAGTTTTTTTATTAAATACTGTTTTATTTTACTTTCAATGTAGTTTTTTCGAAAATGTATTAAAAAACGTTGTTTGATATACGTGCGAATTAGTCATTTTCACTTGTCTCGAGTCTCGACTCTCGCTCGACCCAAGAAGCCTCGAGACTCGGGATTAATGATTAACTTTCCGCACTTGTACCAAAAATAACTAATATCACATTATTACATTGCATTATTCTTAATTAGAAATGGTAACATACTTTATACAATACATCAATTTTAAATAATATTAATGAGACATGTCAAACAATTTTTATTTGTGTTATTAGGCGATTAACACACTGCACTGCGCCCCGCGACGGAGCACAGGAACTATTTCACAAGGTATTCTACTGCTACTGAGATCGTCCAGGGAAATACTGGCACCTATTTCTGCCGCCAAGCAATGAGCAACACTGCGTTCCGGTTTTGAAAGATAAGGGTGCTGGTGAAAGTACAGGCACATGGGACTTGTTAAATTATGTCTCTGTGTGGCCTGTCAGATTTTTGTGATTTAAAGCTCTGAGTGTCACTACAACTGTTATGGACAGGCGTGTCGCTTACCAGCAGGCGCATGACTTGTTTGTCCCGTCACTTGGTATAATAAAAAAAATGTAGTCGCGTATGTTGAATCATCAAAAACGTGCATCAAGGTTTTTTGAAATTAAATTTATTTATTTCTCAATTTGGTTCAACAATGGTAGATCAGTTCTCCCATTAGGCAGATGTATGCTTGTGTTGGGAAAGCCTTGCAACTTTCCTAAGCTTAAAACTGAGAATTTACAACAAATCAGTGGATTAGTTAAATAAGATAGAATGGTATTTAAAATAGAAAACAACAATGTATGTATCGAGTTCTTAGGTTTTCGCGATTGTTACTGTTTTAATATAAGGAGCGGAGCTGCGTTGACAAGTGAAACGATCGCTGGTTAGCTTTGCACTGATTTATTATAATATGAACTGGTAGTGGGCGCAGCCACACATACCTACATACATAACATTCCTCCCTCTATTATAATAACCTAAATTAATACAAATATTAAAAGTGCTTTTTATAAGACACAATGGGACGTGGGCGTAACAATCTTTTTGGTACAACTCCGGGACCCTGTGGCTTGTCCCGGGTGTCGACTTCGGCTTCCGCTTCGTAGAACTCATCGTCGGAATTCGATTGTCTCGCAGTAGCGCAGACGGAATCAGCTAGCATCCCATCGTCCCTCTGTAGACTTCCGCTCGCATATTCGTCCTCCCCCGACCTTGGAGAATCGCTCGGCACATACAGTTCGGCTCTCCTTCCACTGGCTGACTGTGAAGCAATATTCGGTGATGGGAGTTCAACCTGGGGTTCCGGTGATTCGGGAGACAGCGATAATGGTTCCAACGAGGACAGCGGTGTCAGAGACAACAGCGGCGAAGACGGCGGCGGCGGCGGCGGAGGCGACTGTGGCGGCGGCAACTGCGGCGGCGGTGACGCAACAGGTAAGTTTACATTTGAACTATGTACCGAGTCCCAATAATTGTTACTAGTCCCTTTGTACAACATTAATTGATACATTTTTTGTCTTTGATACATTTCCGAACTATCGATATCTTTCACTAAACATAGAACATTTCCTAATTTTCTCTGTACGATTCCTTTACACCACGTATAATTTGTTTTATTCATAAATTTTTTGTACAGTACAATGTCGTTTTTCTTTAATTTTTTAACTCGGGTTTTCCCTTCCTTATTTCGTGTACACTGTTGGTTATTTATTATATCAGGCGACGGCAGTGGCGAGGGTGCCGATGAGTTTGGATCAATCAAATCTAATCTAGATCTTAACTTGTGACCGAATACCAGTTGAGCCGGAGACAGCCCCGTGGTAGTGTTAACACAGTTACGGTAATCCATTAGGTATTTCAGTAATTTTGTCCACGTATCCCCCGCGTTGAGACCCAACAAAAGACGCGACTTTATTCCCCTTTTCACAATTTTTACAAAACTTTCGGCCTGGCCGTTGCTCGACGGGTGGTAGACCGGTGACGTCATATGCGAAATCCCGTTTGTTGAACAAAACAACTCAAATTCCCGCGAACAAAAAGCTGTGCCGTTATCACTAACAATCGTTTTAGGAACACCGAATTTAGACATAAATTCACATAATTTTAAAATCACTGCCGCTGATGACTTGGACGTTTTCATATTGTATACCTCTACCCACTTAGTATGTGCGTCTACTGCTACTAAGTATACGCAACCTTTAATTGGACCAAGGAAATCTATGTGAATTCTATCAAATGATCGAGCTGGGTACTCCCACGGAGTCAGCGGGGCGCGGGGCGGCGAGGGGCGCAACTGAATGCACACATCACACGTACTTATCATGGTTTCCACCGCTTGGTCAATTCCTGGAAACCAAAATCTAGAACGAGCCTCGCCCTTTGTTTTAACTATACCTAAATGCGACGAATGTAATTCTTTTAACATTGTCTGGTGTAAACTCGCGGGGATGACGACCTTGTGACCTCTCATTACGCATCCATTCTCATAAGACAGTTGTGATCTACACAAATGATACGGTTTTAACCGAATATCATCAACTTTAGGCGGCCAGCCATTCATAATGCAGTTAATGACTAGCCGTAAGACTATGTCCGATTTTGTTTCTTCGCGTAATCTGTGTAAAGTGACGGGCATGCTGCCGTCTACAACGAAACAGACATAGGTCGCAGCACTTGCATTGTTCGGTGCACGCGCACTCGTGCACTTCACTTCGTTGTAATCTATTTGCAGACATCTCTGGAATGCCCTTATGTGGCCCGAAAATGGACAGAAGTGGCTTGTGGTCCGTTCGTAATATGAAAGGTTCGCTTCTGCCATACAAATATTGATGGAATCGTCACACGCCATAAATTATTGCAGTTGCCTCTTTCTGTATTTGAGCACATCGCTTTTCCGCCGCATTTAACGTACGCGACATGAAAGATAAGGGTCGTTCTACACCGTCTTTACCTATTTGAGAAAGAATAGCTCCCAACCCCTTAGGAGAAGCGTCGACGGTTAAAATGATCGTCGCACTTGAATCGAAATGTGTAAGAACCTGTTCCGATGTCATAACTTTTTTAATTTCTCGAAATGCCGTATCATGAACTTCATTCCAGTCCCATTTACAACCCTTTTTCAATAATTCATATAAAGGACTGAGGATTGCGGATGCATTTCGTACACAATTCCTATAATAGTTTATGAGCCCTAGGAATGACTGCAACTCACTAACATTTTTCGGAACTGGTGCTTCAACCATGGCCTTAATTTTTTCCGGTGCTTTCTTCAACCCGTCTTTCGTAATGATATAGCCAAGATAATGAACTTTATCCTGAAAAAATCTACATTTTTCTTTTTGTAATGTAAGGCCTGCGTCCTGCAGCCGCTTCAGCACAGCATTCAGCCTTTCAAGATGCTCCTTCCAGTCCTTACCAGTGACCAAAATGTCATCTAATAGACATAATACGCCATCTAGACCTGAAAGCACCCCTTCGATTGCGCGTTGAAAAATGGAGGGTGCGCTGGCTAACCCAAATACTAATCGGGAGAAAGTATATAACCCACGGTTTGTATTTATGCAAGTAAGATTTTTTTACTCGTTATCTAAAACAAACTGGTTATATGCCATAGATAAATCTAATTTACTAAAGTGTTGACCCCCATGTATTTTAGAAAACAGTTCACTAGTTGTGGGAAGTGGATATTTTTCCACCTGCAGCTGTTTGTTTATAGTTCTAGAGTAATCGGCACACAATCTGACTGACCCATTCTTTTTAAGAACTGGGACTATCGGAGATGCGTATTCTGAGTGCTCGACAGGCTCAATAATACCTAACCGGACCAACCTGTCAATTTCGTGATTGACCTTATCGCGCAAAGCGAATGCGACGGGACGTGTCTTGCAGAAAACCGGTTTAGCATTATCTTTCAACAACAACTTAATTTTGTACTTGTTAAAAGTGCCTAATTTGTCAGAAAACAGCTCTGAATATTGTTGTTGCAACAATTCAACAGGTGGTACAGAATCCACACAAAAATTCACCGGTACCAATTGCAAATTAAACGCTGATATAAAATCCCTACCCAGAAGAGGCGGACCTCCGTCACGTATTACATAAAAGACAATAGCGTGAGTTTGTCCCGCATAACTTATCGGCAAACGAAATATACCTACACATTCAATTTTCTTTCCATTGTACGTCATCAGCTGTTTCATAGTATTGGATAACGGCACATCTTTAAAATGAGTTTTATACAAGACCTCCGACACTACAGTTACTGTTGACCCATTGTCTATTTCAAATTGAAACGGTCTATTTTTAATTAGAACTGTTTCTACCATGGGTGCACCCCTAAATGAACGAATGTAATAAAGCTCACCGTCATCGCTTTCGTCGTCCTCACCCTGGCCACCGCAATCCACCTTTACGTAATTCACTTTAGAACACATTTTACGCAAATGGCCTTTCACGTGACACTTTTTGCAAACGTAATTTGCAAATTTACACTCCGAGGACTTATGATTCGTAAACCCACAAACACTACACTTTACTTTGCCTACACTTCCACGATTCCCGTTATTTGAGATCTTGAATAACTGATCATGTGACGCGCTCGCTAGACCGGCGCCGCCGGCGGCGGAGCTTGCGGTCGCGGCGCTCCGTGCCCTGACATGGTTCTCCGCGGTCTCCACGACCTTGGCTAGCGTGAGACCGGCTAAATCCTTTGCGTACAGCTCTTCTTTTTCTCGTCCCGGTAGCATGCCCATTATGAACTTGTCGCGCAGCGCCTCTTCGACATTGAGGAAGCCACACTTTGCAGTCAGACCTCGTAATCTCGCTGCCCACTGAGAATGGGTTTCACCCACTTGTTGAGCGGCCGCGTAAAACTTGTGACGCTCACCAAACCCGACGCTCTTTGGTGTGAAGTGAGTGTCTAAAAGATTTAATAAATCTTCGTAGGGCACGTCGTCGATTTCCTTGGGTAAAGTCAGGTCCGTTGCTAGCTTGTAGGTACCCTCTGTGAGTGCGCTTAGCAGGATCGCCTTTCTTCTCTTGCCCTCAGGATCCGTCGATTCATTAAAATTATTTGCTACGAAATATTGCCCAATACGACCTTTATACGTTTTCCACGTGTGTATATTGTGATCGAAACTATTTAAAATCCCGAACTGAGCACTAATATTCGCCATCTTGCACAACATTTTTTTTTGTTGCGGGTAGTTCGTCGCCACTGTTAAATATAAGGAGCGGAGCTGCGTTGACAAGTGAAACGATCGCTGGTTAGCTTTGCACTGATTTATTATAATATGAACTGGTAGTGGGCGCAGCCACACATACCAACATACATAACAGTTACACATAGGAGATGAAAGTATTTTTCCGAATTTAAATTGCGTATATTTGTTTTTTCAAAACAAACCAACGTTTCGGACCCTTTACAGGTCCCATGGTCACGGTTGACTGAGGTGATACTGAGGTGGTGGTAGTCGTCAACCAGTTATGTCTAATAACAATGTATGTAATGTGTGTGTGTGTGTGTGTGTGTGTGTGTGTGTGTGTGTGTGTGTGTGTGTGTG